GACCTCCTAGTTCACAGGTCGGCATTCAACCTCTGAGCCACACCAGTAGGGTGTGAGAGAGTTCAAACTTTTAATCCAGATAGACTTAGACTTGAATCCCAATTCCTGTTCTCAAACACCCCCACACACACCTACACATGTTCTTTGTCAAATTACTTAATTTCTCTGAACCATGGTTTCCTCATCAGTAAAATTAGGAAATGAATATCTATTAAGTGTTTATGCATAAAGCCTATAGTTCACAGCACTATTTTATATATTTAAATATTTTGTAAGAGGGTAGATCTTATGTTGTGTTCTTATAACCACACAAAATAATAATACTAAATGAAGAGAGGAGAACATTGGAGGTAATGAATATATTTATGGCATAGATTGTGGTCCTGTTTTCATGGGTGCATGTTTATCCCTAGACTCCAGTTGTATGCATTAAACATGTATAGCTTGTTTTATGTTAATCATAACTCAGCAAAGTGGTATTAAAATACACTGAATGTTGAATACCAGGCACTAAATTTAGTACAAGTAATTATGCAATAAATGGAAGAAATAAATTATTATTATTCTATTTAGCAAGGAGATTGTATTCTTACCTAAATGACTTTCATTAGTACAGAAAAAAAAATTGAAAATTGGTTTGAGAAATATATTTACTTTGGAAAATGGTTTGATCCAAATAATTCTAGCTAGGACTCTAATCCCATTTCCTTCAATCTCTAGGGATTATTCATAACAAATTAGAAGAGTGTGGCTATTTATGTCCACCTTTGACATGTATTTACTGAGTGATGCTCAGGCTGAGCAGGTGGTCTGACCTCGGATTTCCTGCCTCACCTAACAAGGCCAGGACCAGAGAAACTCTGTATGACATGGAAATGGCTCAAACATGCCAGAGCTTTTCTGACCCAAACAGCCACTTTTGTGTGTTTTCTGGCTTCCCAGTAGCAATCTGACTTATAAATATCTCTACCTATATTTCATGAATTCCTCTGTACTGGTCACTAGCTCTCTAAGTACATTTGAAGGTCTATTCTTTCTATTATTTATTCAAGTTTAAGAACCAATTCTGAATGGATTGGAAGTTGCCCACACATTTTTTTTTTCTTAGAAAACTGTATTTGTCTGTTTGTCACTCCGCCCACTAAACATTCACATATGAGAGGTGCCAAATAAGTTGCACATTTGAAATGTCATGCATGCCTAATTTTATTCCTGGTAACATATATATATATTTTTTTATGTTGAGAAAAGTAAACAATACACCGCATTTCAAAAATGTTGCCAAGCCTTATGTTATTATTATACAGCATCCGGAACCTCCATTACAGCAACTTACTTATATAATTTCATAATAAAATCACATACTTTTCATGGTATGTAGGAAGGCTGGATGCAAATAATGATATTTGATCTCTCATAAATATAATTAATGCCCCTAGAAAAATTCCGGGTTATATCTTTTGTTGTTCCATGGAATCAACAAAATCATGAGAAACAGAATTGGATATGTATTTAAGATTCACAAAAGTGATAGTATAACTATTACTGAGAGGTCTAAGTAAGAAGCTTAACTTTAAATCAAGATCATTATCAAAAACATGGGAACATTTACAAAGATGAGCTTATTTTAGAGAATCACATTTGACATCCCCCTCAATGTGAATTGTTGACTTGTCAGTGGTTAAGTTAACTTCATCTTAAGCCTGTCTCTTAGGTGGTATTAATTTTTCTGTCAATATTAACTTCTTTCTAATGTACTGATGGCTTGTTCTCCTGTTGGTTCATTCTACTACTTTCTTCCATTAATTCAAGAATTATCAGAATACCATTTAGAAGTATTGCTTCCCTCACTGTTCCCCACCCCTAAAGTGTGCCTCTGCCCAGGAATGGGAGCATTGCCACCCAGATAGTCAGCCAAATAAGACAGGAATCATCCTTAAATTTTTCTTTCCTTTTCCCAGAGAATCAGCACACAGCAAAGTCCTGTCAGTTCCACCTACAGATAAACCCTAATCCTTCCTCTCTCTCTCCTCCGCTCCTCCTCAGGGCCACCATCATCTTCCTCACCAGGCGAATACAATAGCCCCCAGAATCCACCTCTCCCGCCCGCCCCAGGCTCTGTCCACAACTACTGGGCCCACAGAGAACCTGATCTTTAAACACATACATCCAAGCTCAACTTAGAGCACGCAGCTTCCTGCTTCTTGGATTCAAAGAGGCCAAGCTTAACCCCTCCTCAGCTGTTCCCACCTGGCCTCTCCCCACATTTTCCTGCCTCACGCACACATCTCAGCTTGCTTTGCTCCCCCACCCCCTCACTTTATGTTATCTCTTCGTGGTACTTAACATGATTTGAGATTTTTTTTAAATTAATAAACTTAAGTTTTAGGTTTACAATTTTAGATTTACAGAAAAACTGAGCAGAGAGTACAGAGTTCCTTTTACTCTTTCTCCCCTACCTCCCTAAACAATGTCCACCGTTACTAACATTTTGCATTAGGGTGGTATATCTGTTATATCAATAATTGCTGAGCCAATATTGATAGATTTAACCAGAGTCCATAGTCTAGATTAAGGTCACTCGTACTGTGTACAAATCCATAAAGTCATATATGGGGGTGGGCAAAAGTAGGCTAATAATAATAATAATAAAAAATAATAATATAGTAATAACTAAATAAATAAAAATACAAGAATAAACTCTGTTTCTTATACTCACAACTGTAAGTCTATCTTTGCCAACCCCTGTATTCACTATTATAATGTACAGAATAGCTTCATTGACCTAACAATCTGCTTCACCTGTTCACTCTGCCCTACCCCACCTCTGGCAGCCACTGATCTTTTTATTGTCTCTATAGGTTTGCCTTACAGAATGTCATATACCTGGAATCCTACAATATGTTCACTATTTGATTTTTTAAAATATCAACTAATTAAAAAAAAAAAAAACCCTCATGAGAACAGAGACTGCTCTGTCTTGTGCTTCCCTTTGCCCGCAGTACCAACAGCAGGCCCTCCGTGGCTCCTCTGTAGGAATGTATAGATTGAGTGAATGGATGAATCTACCCACCAACCACCTACACCTTTGAAATATCTCTTTCTCGAATGGCCCTAGTAACCGTGGAGCAGGCTTGTCTGGGTTTCAGGCTTCTCCACCGATGCTTTGCCGATACTGGGAAAAGAGGAGCTGCTCCCTGGCCCCATGTGATGGAGGGAGTGTCTGCTCTGGGGCCTTCGGCCACCTGAGACCAGAATCTCACAGAGGGATTTTCCCAGTCGTTTTAGTCTCGTGGGCGCTCCGTGGGTTGGAAATGCAGAATCTTACATATGAATGGCAAGCTCTGCTCTGCCCCCCTCATCCTCTCATACTCACGGGCTCCCCTCTTCCCTCCCTTTAACCTTGCCTTTGCTCTTCCGAATCTTACCATTTACCCCTGAACAATTTCCATTCTGGTCACTCTTTACCCCTTTCTATCTTCCGCCCTCGCATCCTTTTCCATCCGTGAAGCAGAAAAACGTACTAATGGGCCTGACAAGAGCGAGCTCGTCGGCGCTGGAGATGTCCTGTGCTAAGGAAACGGAGAACCAGATATTTTAACGTACAGTGAACCCTAACCAGAAACCACACCTTCCAAAGCACCGAAAACCCCCCAGAGGTCTCTGCCACAATCTCCACAACCTCCCGCCTTCTCTCACTGCAGTGCTTTCCCCTGAACCTCTACCATTATTAATATAAACAAATCAATTTCCTCACTCAATTCCTACACGATGCTTTGGTTTATTGGACCACAATTTGTAGAAATCTTTTTTAATGCCTGGCCCATGGGGGGTCCCTCTGAATTTATTAGGATGGAAGCTTTAGGTTTTTTTTTTTTTTTTTTTTTTTTACTACTTTTTGTATTTAGATTCAAGGAAATATGCTTACCATCACCCTAGTCAAGGCCTTAATTGGTTTATAGCCCTTTAGTTTGGACCTACTCAGCTTCTGTCTTTTCAAACAGCCCTAATCTTTCTAACATAAACCCTTTCCCAGCAGGGGGAGCACAAATGAGGAAACAAAATCCAATAAAACGCTGGCAGCACTGGGGATTGCAGAAAGAATAAATAGCAGGACGTCTTCCCCCCCTACCCCCCCAGGGGTGGGGGGGTATTTGAAACCTAAGGAAGGAATGTTTTTAAAAATGTGCAAAATTAAAAAGAACGCACACAGGAAAAAGTTACTAAAACCCATTTGCAAACTTCAAATGTTTTAGGTTACATCACAGTATTTTGAAAGAATAAGAAGATCCGTTTCCATTTGAAGGGTAACTGTTAACTCATTCAATGCCGAAGAGCATTGCCTCCTTTAAAGAGCTTAGGTTTACTTCGGGGTCTGTTGTTTTTAAAATTAGAAATATATCTTTAAAGGCTGCACACTCATAATTTGTAATTTAAAGGGCTATTTGCAGTTACACTATTATGGTATTCGTTCACCTAAAAACATTTAGTTGGTAGTGAATTGTGCAGCCTTTGGGTCTATAATGTCTTTTCTGTGCCTGGAATTTCATAAAATGCTCTCAGGGCCCTTTAAAAAAGAAGTCAGTTAACTAACCACTTTTTAATGAGCCGGATTGCCTCTAAAACGTTATTTCTTTTAAAAAGTGTTCCATAAAAGTGTCATAAATGAAGGAGTAAAGCAAGCCCAAGTGTGCCCGGGGGACTTGAGTGACTCTGAGGGCTTTAGTGACCTCGGGAACCTCTTCAAAAGCTCCCTTCTCAGGGTTGATCAAGTTACTAAAAGCCTCGTGCAGCCCCAGCTCCCCGCTGCAGGTCAGAATCCCACAGTCGCCCAGGTTTCCTGCAGCTACCGCTCCGCTGTCAGGTATGCCATTCCCCAAGTTAGCAGGATCACAGTCCTGCTCCTGTCTTTTCAGCATTCGTTTGAATGGCAAATGCGTCCAATAATATTAAGCAGTGGGCTCAGCAAGGGCTAAAACAGATAAAAGAGGCAAACTTACCATCAAGCACGTTACTATCATAACAAAGATGCTGAGAAATATGACAACCGCATAGAATCCTTCTTTGCTCCAGATTTTGTCCGCTTCATGCTGCCCTTGGAGCACATTTTTCTTTAAAGGCAAAACAGAAAGTCCGGCGTTACAGGAGAGCCGAGAGCCGGAGGAGACGGGCGTTCTTATCAGACACTGAACATATTTTTAGCTTTCTTCTCCCATTCAGTGTAGTAGCACACACCTACATTCCCCGCTGCCAGCGCCGCTTCTCTCACTGCTCTGAGGCGGGCACTGCCCCCTGGAAGAGACTGTCTCCCCTCCTGCCCAGGAGCAGGCGGGCCTCACGGGGCAATGTCCCTTCCAGCAGTCTCTCTTGGAATTGACCTGGTTCACAGGTAGGAGAGTTCCGTTCTGCTCTGCGTTGGAGGAAATTGTTTTGAAGCTGTCTTTTCCCTGCGTGAAGTCCCCTCCCACAACAACACCCTGGGCGACGTGCTGTAATACAGCTCCTGACTCTTCAACTAAAGTGAAACAGGGGCAAACAAAAACCTCAAGATGCACGAGTAAACAGAGCAAGGACTTCAGGATCGTTTCCTCCTCCTTTTCCTCCTCTGTTATCAAACCTTTTCATTGTCTTTAAAATACAGTCTTATTTGTCAAAGTCTAATGAAAGCACCAACCTCACCTGCATAAATTGTTAGAATATTCCATTTTACTTAAGCGTCAGGGAACACCAAAAAAGTCCAGAATTATTTAGTGACAAGAGGTGAAATAGTTTTATTTTTAGTTATACTTTTTTGTTTTGTTTACTACTTTGGAGGTGGAAAAGCATGAATAAAATGTGAGGGTCTTAATTTTATTTCACTTATTCTTTTTTTTTTTAAAAAAGCATATCTATTAAATCAAGTTTTAGAATGCTCTTAGTTTTATGATTCCGTGAAATTTATAGATTTATAGTTAAAGAAACTTCAACCTGAAACCAAAGGGCCCACAATTAGGAAAGACATACAGAGGCGGCTGAATCAGGTACGATGTTCCCACTTTGCTGAAGGCTGCCTTTCCCTGCTTTTGTGAGAGTGTGTCTGTCCTGGGATAGTGTCTCCAGTGAGGAAGAACGTCTTGAACAAGGAAATGTTGAATAATGGACGGCCACGTGGAGAAAGGCCCTGGGAACTGAGAGATCATCTTGGACATTTCAGCCGCAAAGGGATTCCCAGCTAAAAGTTAACCACTGGGGCGATGCCACTGGGGCTGAACAACCTAGCTGACCCTAGTCCATCCACAGAACCATGAGAAATAAATAGTAGTCGTCACATAAATAAATAAAAAAAAGCCTTGAATAACACCTGTCCTTGTATCTAAACTTAGAAATCATTGCTAATTACCTTTGCAGCATTGAAGGAAGGAAGGAAGGAAGGAAGGAAGGAAGGAAGGAAGGAAGGAAGGAAGGAAGGAAGGAAGGAAGGAAGGAGAAAGAAAAAAAGAAAGAAAGAAAGAAAGAAAAGAAGGAAAAGAATGGAAGAAAGAAGGAAGGAAGGAAGGAAGGAAGGAAGGAAGGAAGGAAGGAAGAAAGAAAGAAAGAAAGAAAGAAAGAAAGAAAGAAAGAAAGAAAGAAAGAAAGAAAGAAAAGAATACTTTCATGATTTGTAAATTAGACAAAATGAAACATTTCCCATGAAGAACATTTTATGAAAACTTTCATTCTGGAGCTCAATGAGTGGGGAGTTGAATAAGACAGAACAGAGAGGGACTGTTAAATTAAATTAGTTAAATTGTGATTAAAAATAATTCAAGGGAGTCTTTTATTGCTTGAAATAGTTGAGTTTCCACATCCTTTGCTTGTAAAGCATTGGTGTACTAGTACCATCTTGCTTACTTTCTAAGACACAGACAAATTCATGGACATAAGAAATGATTTTGAGATATAGTTTTAAAATATGTGAATAATAAGTGGTTGGAGAATCTGAAAATACTTGATGAAATGATTGGAACACAAATGTCTTTCTGGACAGGAAATCTCGGGTTCAGGTGCCAACCCATCTTTTACTCTTTGACCTCATCCAGACATATTTTAGTCCAATGTGTCTGTAAACATAGCTAGCAACTAATAAAAAGAGCACTTCCTGAAGAAATCAGGTATAAATATGTCAATGAGTTGTTGTTTTTTTTTTTTTTTGTGACAACTAAATAGCATCTATTGCTTGCTATAAAAGCCAACTATTTAAGCCGTCAAGTAGGCAGCATAAACTGTCAAATTTAAGCACGAGAATGTGAGCTTTAGTTAATATGAAATGTGGTTCAAAAGGGGTGGTTAGGTGGGTGGTAAGAGATTTTGTGTTCCTAACCTGTGGAATAACAACATGTTCCTTTCCGTGTAAGACATGTCTGTTTTGCTTTTCTTTTACCTAAAGCAGCAACGATGGAAGAATTGGCCTCCCGCCCCCACTCTCCCCCCTGCTCCCCCCCCCTCCCCCCACTTAGAAAGACACATGCTTTGTGCTCCCAGAACTTAGTCACTGCACTTTCTTGGTAAATAGATTTCCTTCTGAGTCACGCTATTCCTGCTGAGCACCACTATATTTGTACAGAGATCTAAAAGACTTGATAAGGGCAGGGAAATAGATGGAAAAGTTTGTAATGAACATTCCACAAATCAAAAGAAGATAATTCATAAGACTCTCCCATCTAACCTTTGCATGAGGTTGAAGTGATGTCTTTTATATTTTGTCAGGAGACCGGGGGTTCAATAGTTCAGAGACTCCATGGCCGGGTCAAGCCAGTGCTATTGTGTCATCTTTATATCTTATTTCAGATAGTCTAATAATATTTTCCCTTTAACTTTGTCGCAGTGAAAGTTGTTAGATTTTGTTTTGTCTTTAGATTTAAAATTTGGGCATGTTCCTGTATCACTATATCAATGAGAATGGTTTTTCTATATCCCATTTAATAATTTGATGAACTAGCTAAAGCCAGTTTGGTCAGTGGATAGAGCATCAGCCTGTAGACTGAAAGGTCCCGGGTTCGATTCTGGTCAAGGGCATGTACCTTGGTTGCAGGCACATCCTCGGTGGGGGGTGAGCAGGAGGCAGCTGGTCTATGTTTCTCTCTCATTGATATTTCTAGCTTTCTATCCCTCTCCCTTCCTCTCTGCAAAAACTCAATAAGATATATTAAAAACATAATTTGATGAACTATAGTTGTTTTGTTCATTTGTTTTTTAAACCCATTCTGATCCTCGAAGGTGGAAGAGATTCTCAAATGCTAAGAGATATAATATAGAGGCTTTAGGTCACAGGGGTGGGGAACCTTTTTTCGCCAAGGGCCATTTGGATATTTATAATATCATTCGAGGGCCATACAAAAATTTCAACTTCACAATCAGCCTGCTATATTTAGTCAAACATTTCATTAAGTCACCCCCAATGCCATGGCAGGGCCAGAACAAATGATTTTTAGGGCCTTATACAGCCCGATGGCTGGGTGGTCCCTGTCCCTGCGGCAGGAGACATATCTATTTAGGAGAGACGATCGCACAGAATGAGAACAGAGTAGAAATATTGTAAGTTACCTGGTTAGTTGATTGACTTAGGCAGGTAAGTGAGATGCAGCCTACAGTAATGTAGTTTTGTTAGGTGCAGACATATTTCCTCTGTGCAATATACAGGGTAAGCAGTATGGTCTGAATGGTCTAACATGTGTTAACATTGTTTTCCTCCTCAGCTCTGTATGGCTGGGACTGTAATGTTTTAAACTAGTGGTTCTCAACCTTCCTAATGCCACGACCCTTTAATACAGTTCCTTGTGTTGTGGTGACCCCCAACTGTAAAATTATTTTCGTTGCTACTTCATAACTGTAATTCTGCTACTGTTAATGAATCATAATGTAAATATCTGTGTTTTCCGACCGTCTTAGGCTCTACAGTTGTGATCCACAGGTTGAGAACCGCCAGCAGGGTCACCTAAGACCATTGGAAAACACAGATATTTACATTACAACTCATAACAGTAGCAAAATTACAGTTATGAAGTAGTAATGAAAATAAATTTATGGTTGGAGGTCACCACAACATGAGGAACTGTATTAAAGGGTCGTGGCATTAGGAAGGTTGAGAATCACTGCTTTAGACTATTGGCTAATGTTCCTAATTCTAGGGAACAATCACCAAACTCCCGGATTATGGCTTATATTCATTTGGTATGATTTTTTTTCTCTTTGTAAATATTCCATGAAAGTATCAGTTGACACAATGGCTTGTTATTTAATGAAGGGAACTTCCTTCTTTGTAATATAAGACCTGTAAAACTGGAGTCATTTCCAACTGAAAACAACTGCATCCACCCTAACCAGTTTGTGCTCAGTGGATAGAGCGTCGGCCTGTGGACTGAAAGGTCCTGGATTCAATTCCGATCAAGGGCATGTACCTTGGTTGTGGACACATTCCCAGTAAAGGGTGTACAAGAGACAGCTGACTGATGTACTCTTTCATCGATGTTTCTAACTATCCCTCTCCCTTCCTTTCTGTAAAAATCAATAAAAATATATTAAAAAACAACAACAAAACACAACAACAACTGAATCCTAAGTCATTTTTAATATAAATGCAAAACTTATTGTTTCAATGGATATTTATAAAAACATTTAAAAATGGAAACTAAAATAATGAATTTAATTGAATTTCCCTGAGATTTGACTTATTAGGTAAGAAGTTTAGTTTTATCTTTATGAGCATCTTAAAATAATACTATTTGTGTGCATATAATGTTCTAGGTACTGTATAAAAGTAGTGTTTTTTTTTTTTTTTAAATGCCTTTTTCTCCCTCCAAAAAAACATAGTTTCAAAAGGAAAACAAACAATAAACAAAAATAATTCTCTCTATTTGGTATTTTTTTTCTTTCCCAAGAGTTTTTTTTCTAATAAAAAAAAAATCAAGCAAATAAAGAAATGGCAACAATAAAAAAAACACAGCCTTCCCTGAAATAAGATAATGTACATTTAGGAATAGATGCTTTGAGACATGGTTCACTATGTCCTGTGACCCATGCAAAGGATGAAAAACAACAAACAACCCCAATATTCATTTTTTTTCCTCTTCATAAACATGCTCCCACAGCAGAGCCATAATTTTAGGATAAAAAATGTGGAAAAATGGGCTGAGGCATAAGCTGCCATCACACAGTAACCGCAGAGATGAATAAAGGAGCCGGGAAACCCTTTATTGTTAACAGCTGGAACAGCTACTCACAAGTGCTTTGGGGGGCCCCTTTGGGCCGTCTGTGTCTGAAGCCCCCATGAAGGCACTAACCCCCATTTCTGCATTTACGGCTTCAGGTCAGGGGGGAATGCTGGGCCCCTTTAAAAAGCTCCTGCAAAAGGCTCAATCAGTTCACCTGTCCTTGATGAAATGCTCTTGGTAGCCAATTAAAATACGGGTTAGCTCCTGTAAGGTAACATTTCCGAGGGTCTAGACTTCCTAGATTTCTAAATTCCCACAATTTCACCAGAAAAAAAATATTAAGTTTTAACCACCAAATCCACTTTCATTATTAAAATACAGATCTGTGGTCTTGTGGGCTAATAGTACTGTGATGAGAGTCAGGCTAAGCTCTTCACCTTTCACCCAGCTGGGGGTTGGGGGGGGGGTTGGAGGACCCCCAAGGGTGTACTTGATATTAACTAGATTTTTGAATGGTGTGTTCCTCTTGGTTCACAAATCTGCCATATCCCTAAAGCATTAAGAGGAGTATTTAAACTCAGATGAAAGCAACAGGGAAGAAGGCTATGTAAGCCCCTGAAAGCTCACAGGCAGCAGAATAAAGTAATCCAAGAGTCTTTTTACATTTTAAAGAATTGTCCTGGAAAAATGTGTGCAAGTCAGTCTGTGAAGGACCTGGACACGTAGGTCGGGGTTCGGTTGGATGCACAAAGGGAAGGTGCGGGGAAGGGGTGTGGGTGTCTAAGCTCATGTTGCTCTTTTCCTCTGGGCTCTTCTTCCTCAAAGCTCCCATGGCACAACAGGGCAACATCATCATCCACACCCCTGCGTCCTCCATCTCTGCTTGTATCCTATCTGCCTTATTAGAAAACAATCCCATTGAAAGCAACAATCATATTTTACTAGTTTGCTTATTCATTTATCTTCTTACTCTGAAGACCAACAGCATAGTGTTTGGCTACCGCTGTGCCCGTTGAATAGCACGCACTGAGTGAGGCACAAAGGACGCAGATAAAGTGACGTGGTGTGTCTCTTGAGGAATCTGGAGTGTAGGGATGGACTTGAAGACCTAGAGAGGATAAGGGGTTTTTATATTAAGCTCAAGGAGAACACCGGTCAATGAGCATGCACATCTAGGGAAGGCTTCGCTCTGTGGTAGACTGACCTTGAAACATGAAAGTTGTATAGAAGGATTAACGCATGCAAAACCATGGAGGGAAGAGAAAGTATGGAGGTGTCATGGTATTGATGAAGTTTGGAATCGCTGAAGCAAAAACTAGGAGAGTGTTGTTGAATAGTTATAAAGCCTAGCACACAAAGGGTCATGGGCCATATTGAGAAATGCATGCTTGATTCCGAAATATTTAGGAGGCCAAAGAGAACCATGACATTAGGAGGGCATAGCCAGATTTATTTTAGAAAGGTTATTCTGGTGCCAAGAGAGAAAACACACACTGTGTGTTTGTGTGTGTGTGTGTGTGTGTGTGTGTGTGTGTGTGTGTGTGTAGGGCAGGGATCAGGGTGACAGTAAATGCTGAAAGACCAATTCAATGATGACATACATTTTCATTCTGCCAATCAATCCTGCATTCAAATATTTGTTCAGTGCCTCCTGTATAGAAGGATTTCCATAAATATTTTAAAAATTAATTCACATTCCAAGCCGATAAAATAAGGACTATACCCATTTTTTTTTCTATACCCATTTTGGATATGAAGAAACTGATCCTCAAGGAGGCTGACATCATACAAAGACTTATTCTCACAGAAATTAAATCACCTGCCCAGGGTCACATACATATCTTAAGTGGTTTTGGGGTTTCAATCTTGTACCAAAGCCTTTTTTAAAAATGTTTTTATTGATTTTTATTTTAGAGAGAGTGAAAAAGGGGGAGAGAGAGAGAGAGAGAGAGGAACAAAGATTGGCTGCCTCCTGCTTACCCCCTACTAAAAATTGAGCCTGCAACCTGGGCATGTGCCCTGACCAGAAATTGAAAGGGTGAACTTTTGGTGCATGGGCTCAACCAACTGAGCCATACCAGCCAGAGCTTATACCAAAGCTTTATTCCATACGTGTGATATTTGCTGAAATGAGAGGCAATAAGCTTTGCTGAAAAGTGGGATTAGACTAAGAATCGATATGTTTAGATTTTTAAAATATATATTTATTTATTAAATATACTTTTTATTGATTTCAGAGCGAGGAAGGAAGAGGGAGAGATAGAAACATCAATGATGAGAGAGAATCATTGATCTGCTGCCTCCTGCACACCCCCTACTGGGGATAGAGCCTGCAACTTGGGCATGTGCCCTTTACCAGAATCAAACCCGGGACCCAGTCCGCCGGCTGACGCTCTATCCACAGAGCCAAAGCAGCTAGGGTCTGACGGCAGAGTTTTAGATGAAATCTTCCATGCAACAACATACCTCAGGAGAAACTTCTATGATTCCAAATTGGGACAAACTTTGATGCAAGACATCGGTGTTAAGTGAGCGCAGCACTTCCTCAGAAGGCAGGGCGTCAGACACGCCTCCTTTTCCGTTTATGGGAGACACGAAGAGTTCCACGCTGTTCTTCTTTCCCTAGTAAAAGCCGGTTATTTGTACACGTTAATAGACATTTTCAAACAAGGCTGGGAAGTATTTTTACCTTCCTCTAGAAACACCACGGAAAATTGGAACCCTGGAATCTTAAAAGGCATCTTGGAGATTACATTTATCAGTTATTCTTAAGAATATCAGCCCAGAGCCCAAAGTCTTCAAATGGCCTTCTCTCAAGTAATTGACATTTCAAGACTTATAATTTTATATTTCATTGGAAGCTGTTTAATTTTTCCATTCCATATTATAATTAAAATATTCCCACACACACACACTATTTATGCCATCTAAGCCTTCTTCCACCTCCACCTCCACCCACCTCCCTCCCCCACACACTCACCACACCATTGTCTATGTCCATGAGTTCTGTCTTTCCTTTGTCGCTCAATCCTTCCATGCCCCCTGCCTCCCCATGCCCATCCCCAGAGCTGTCAGACTGCTCTCTATTTATGAGTCTCTCTATCTTGTTTGTTTTGAAATATACTGTTCAGATGGTCCCTGAGTAATTGTGTTTAGAGAAGCATTATAAAATCAAATGAATTAAATAAAACCTAATGCAATAGTACAGTTATTCGATGTCGCCACTCCATTTTTTCCTTGTAACTTGTATTACGGGAAGGCTGGCATCACTAAGGAAGGTGATGCTGCATAAGCTTTGAAGTTGCTTCCCTGATTTTGTTCTTCACCCCAAATGTCACACTTTTAAAGTCTATCCTTGGATAGAAATGCAGGATACTTTCCTATTAATATTATCTCATTAGCAGAAATGCAGAGAGAGGATTTTTTTTTTCTACCATAAATGGCAGATGGGACACATAAAAAATAAACTCACCACAGAAATCTATCAGAGTCTCTTTAAAAGTTATACATATCATGTACTTATAGAAGGAATTATTGCTAGTCTTTTCTTTTTGACATGGAGTTCTCTCATGTTAGAAAATTTTCTTTTAATGCCATTTACCAGGTATTAAAATACTACTTCAGCCAGGTATAAAATACTACTAGCAATCCAGAAAACAAAACACATTTCCGTGTTTGCAGGGAACAACAGACAATGACTAAGTATGGCATAATACTGATGTCAAACGTGTCTATAATAATTTAAATCGTTTGTGACCTAATAACAACAGTAGCGAGAATAAAGCACTTGTTTTTTTGCCTGACACATTCTTATGTGCGTTAAATCTGTTATCTCATTTAATGCTTAATACCCCTCCAGGACAAAGGTGTTATAATTCTCTCCATTTTGCAATCAAAGACTCGTAAGTAGGTTGCCTACAGTCACACAGCTGGGAGACGGCCAAGCTAGAAGTGGGGTACGGCTGTGTCTCCACACTACATGCTCTTCATCCCCATGCTCTGCTGCCTGGGGTATCATCATAACTCTACCCATTATAGAAATTGCTCCCAGAAACAGGTGTGGTAAATGCCACTAATATTCCCTGGGATATACGTGTTCCTGCCTAGGTGTGGCAAACCCCTTTTCACCCCTGCACAGAGCTAAGACATCTATGGTACCTGCATCTCTACATCTTCTCATTTAAATAAGATACTTTGGCTATAAAACCCATTTCCCTCATCCAGGGCACTAGGAAATACTGTATTTCCTCTTCTATGGTACTGAGCTTAAAAACTTTGGGTTTTTTTAAGCTTATTTGATCCCAGAAAATAGTTGACTTAGAGAATAAAGTCATTATGGGGAAGGAAACAACTCACTCCTCCACAATGAAAAGAAACAAAAATCCCTAAACCAACGTAAAAAGCAAATTCTTCCCCTTAGCTGGAAATGAGGATGTTGATTCCGTAGAAAGCTGAGCTCCAGCAGGAGAATCAGAATGTAAGGCCAGGGGACTGTGCGGTCCTGGCTTGAGTTCCCACTGCGGTGGAAATGAAGAACAATTGTAAAACTGTAAGATGATTCCAAAGTCCCTTTTCACAGGAACCTAGAGCAATTAGCTCTTTACAAAGAGAAAGGCATATGCTTTTATTTCCCTTTCTCTGCCTTTGCTCCTGCCCGCCTTCAGGTGCAGATGGGAACAGGTGGTTGGATGACATCAAGGTTCCCAAACACTGAGAAAAGGTGGGAAGGAAGGATGTGGGTGATTGATGGATGGATAGATGGGTCTAACGTGGGCTCTATTCATAAAACCCTTTGGGTTTGCCTCATTCCCACCCCACATAACTATCCAAGTTTTCTCGAGGCTTTTCAGAACCATCTGTTCTTGCATTCCATTCGGAGTGCTGTCCTCAGGAATTGGTTTTCCTTTATTTTTAACCAAAATCCTCCGTCTGTGAATCCAGTCTCCTTCATCCTATTGCTAACCTTAAAGGAGTTCTCAGAGATGCCTCTTGGAGACAATGCTTTCACTGATGCAAAAGGTTTAACTTTTAGGAAGAATGTTTTGGGTGTGATGCCAGGTTGGTGAGACTGATATGTTGGGCCCCTCTATTCATGTCTATCAGGGCATTCACCTTGAACGATGAGAAGGTTGATACACTTTTTCTGTAAAGGGCCAGAGAGCCAGTATTTTAATCTTTGATTTAGCCCAACAATCTGTTAGAATGACTCATCTCTGTCACTGTAGCCTGAAAGTAGCCATAGTCAATATGTAAACATATGACTGTGGCTTACTGCAATAAAATTTTCTTTACCAAAACCATTGGCATACTAGATTTGGCTCAGGGACCATGAAACTATAGCATGGGTGTCTTACATTATTGTTCTTTATTACTGAGACCTTCCAGAAAGACCAAAGCCTGTGTCTGGGAAAGGGAACTGGAGGCATCTTACATTGAGGCGGTTGATGTGCACTTGCTGGGGTAAGAGTCCTAAAGCGGCCGCCACTCCCTGGAGGAATACTCGGAGCAAGGTTATGTTCAGCTTGTTGACATCCATTTGCAGTGTCTAGGGGGGGGGGGGGAAAGAAATTCACATTATAGATAAATGTTTATTCAAGATATTCAGTTCCTGGCTGACGACTGACCAGAACAATTTCTGTGACTTTGATAAATTTATACTCATGGTGCTGGGTTGCATTTTTAATGGAGATAACATTATAGGGATATTTTATGTGAAATTGTAAATGGTGTCGGTTAAAAAGATGGCACACTGTCTAGTTCAGTGGTTCTCAACCTTTCTAATGCTGCGACCCTTTTAATACAGTTCCTCGTGTTGTGCTGACCCCAGCCATAACATTATTTTTTGTAGAGCCTGAAACCATCGGAAAATACAGATATTTATATTACAATTCATAACAGTACCAAAATCACAGTTATGAAGTAGCAGCGAAAATAATTTTATGGTTGGGTGTCACCACAGCATGAGGAACTTGTATTAAAGGGTCGCAACATTAGAAAGGTTGAGAACCACTGGTCTAGTTAATAATAATAATAATAATAATAATAATAATAATGCAACTTGTCCATCAATAAGGCATATGCATGAACAATTCATAAAGAATTTCACTAAAACGTTTGTTTGTTTAGTTAGCTTGATTTTAATTCCAGATGACAGAATGAAATATGGTGCCAAGTGTATTTCAGCAATCCAAGTTGAAGGACAGCTTTAATCTGTGTTCACACACAGTCCCAGGCAGAAAGATTCTGTGTAAGTCCCATAACACCAGACCTGGCAGTTTCTCTATATACTAGCTGTGATTGGATGCCAATGCGAGGCAAAGAATGAGGTGCAATAACACATTTACAAACTCTGGTAAAGAAACCAGTGGTGCTGATGATTTGGCCTAACGTAAACAATTCTTATTCAGTTGTTTGGGCAAACACTCTTAATTTTTAAGTTGTTTTGGAAAAAGATAACTAAGCATTTAAGAATTCCTAGAATACAAACAAGTTATAAAATTAATAATATAGCCTTAATTTAAGCCATGGGTGCCATTCATACACTTAAACCATAAATAATTACTTTTTTAAAATGCATCATAATCATTTGAGATATCACATAAGATGGGGAAACCAAACCTTTATGCATTTAATCTATAATAATAAAAGCATAATATGCTAATTAGACTGGACATCCTTCCGGATGAAGCCGGGGCTGTGAGGGAAGCCTGAGTCCCGGGTGCCACAGGGAAGCTGGTGCCAGCAGCTGGGAAAAGGAAGGCCTACTCTTGCATGCATTTCATGCACTGGGCCTCTAGAACATAAATATTTGACAAGATTTTTTTTTTTACCCCCTTCATCTTTCTTCCACCCTCTACTCCCTGCTTCTGCCTGTATCAATGAGCTTTATTTTTTGTACTTCACATAAAAGAGAGATCATTTAATATTTGTCTTTGTCTGTCTAGATTTATTTCACATAGCATAAGGAATGCCTTTTGAGGTCCATCCACACTGAAGCACATGTCAAGATTTCATTCATGTTTTTTTGTATGTGGCTGTCCAGTTTTCCCAACACTATTTATTGAAGAGACTGTCCTTTCCCCATTGTATATTCTTGGCTCAATTGCCATAAATTATCTGTGGGTTTATTTTTGGACTCTCCTTTCTTTTCCATTGAGCTATGGGTCTGTTTTTATGCAAAAACCATGCTGATTTAATACTATCCTACCGAATAAAAGAGTAATATGCAAATTGACCATCACTCTGCTATACCCACAAGCCACACCCACCAGGCATGCCCACCAGCCATTCATAGCGAGAATGCAAATTAACCCCAACCAAGATGGCTGCAGCCACAGAGAGCAGGATGGAGGCTTGGGTTTCCCTGGCAATAGAGAAAGCCAAGCTTTCCACACACCCTGGCCTGCCTAGGTCTCCACTCAAGGCTACAAAGTTTCAATTATAGAAGTCTTCCATTTCTGGGAATACTTTCTCTGATTGTCTGGTGGGTGTGGCTGGTGGGTGTAGCGGAGTGATAGTAAATTTATATTACTTTTTTATTAGGAAGGATTTATAGTGTTTAATTCATAAACTAGATCATAATAGGTTATCAATAACTGTTGGATGGCTGCAGCATCATTTATTTTATAAAATTAGGCACACTTCTATGTGGTACACTTCTCTGCTGGGGAGATCAGCTTTCATGTGTAAACTACTCCAGCACAAGGGCTTTCTCCCAGTTAGATATACAAGGAGAATGATACTGCTTCAAGATTTTCTTTTCTTTTTAGGAAACAATACATTTTCTATCCATAAAGTTGGTACAAAATAAATGATTAGAAACTGGACCAAATGCTCAATGCTACAAGAGTTAGAGGGAGCTGGGGAGGTAAAAAGAGGGCTAGTGGTCACAGTAGCCATGGTGGACCCCACTGAAGCTTCAGAGTGCCCTGCATCATAGGATCTTCTCATGCTTTTATGGGGAAAGGGCCATAGGGTTTGGTCATGTTAGAGTTGAAACTGTACTTCTTGGGAAAATCTGCATTTCAGAAAAAAGCACACCATTCAAAACTTCACCTAACAGCCCAACTAAGAGATACATTTTGCTTCTGAAGAGAGGGGAAAGAATCCTGTTGGGAACAGGTAGAAAAGCTACTTCAAAAGCAACTGTCAGTAATTAATTTTTTAATAAATAAAAACTAATAGCCCTAGCCACTTTGGCTCAGTGGTTAGAGCGATGGCCTACAGATTGAAGAGTCCTGGATTCGATTCCGGTCAAGGGCACATGCCTGAGTTGCGGGCTCAATTCCCAGTGGGGGGCATGCAAGAGGCAGCCGATCAATGATTCTCTCTCATCATTGATGTTTCCCTCTCTCTCTCTCTCCCTCTCTCTGAAATAAATTTTAAAAATATATAAAAACTATCTAATAGTACACAATTGTTTGCTATACTATTACCTGAATTTTTGTACTTTTCTATAGTCTAAAGGTGTTCCCAATAACAACATAATTTAATACAGAAAGTAAGATGAGCTCAAGCCTGAAGGATAAATAGGACTTGGAAATGCAGCGATGAGAAAAACGCTATGCGTTTAAGCATTCTTTATGTATCCACCTGGAAAACTCAAGAGATTAGAAAATTCAGTCCACCTGGTAGCTCTGAGAAACAGAAACTCCTTTTGCCCAACAGCTGACTTTCAGCTCTTCAGGGCTGCAGAAGCTGAGATAGATATGGGACATTGTACTTGAGATGGTTTACTCTCCTTGTGCCAGGCAAAGATGGGTTCCTCGGTTCACACAAACCCTGCTGAGGAGCCGTGGACTTCTGGCTCCCCAGCAGTGTTTGCCAGGCAGGGTGAGCAGGCAGGGACTGTCCCTGATCACCACAGGCAAAACTTGGAGCCGATGGTCTGTGCTGGGTACTGAGAGTCAAGGGCTTGTGTACAACACACTTGAGAACTCAATTCCCAGGGCCATGATCACCCAGAGGAGGCTTGTTACTGTGGAAACAGCATTCAAGTCTAAGTTCCTCCAAGTGCACGGTAAATGGAAGTGAAATGGGAACTCAAGATTAGAATGTACAAAGGAAAAGAGAGGAAACTGTTTAAAAATTGGAGCTGTTCTTTGGAAACAGAAATTTAGATTGCCTAACTAACGTGAATAAGTAAGGAGAAGCAGTTAGTTTAAACCTAAATCCTCTGGTTTATTGCATCAAAACAGAATAATTCGCCTCAGTTCTCTGCCTGTCAAGAGAGAACTGAGGCTGGATTGACTCCACAGGGCAAGTATTTCTGATTATTCCCCATAAAATAGTGAAGGTAAAATATACAGACAGGAAAACATATATTCGAGGGCCTAATAAGTGTCAGACATTTTACATGAGTGCTATTTAAAAAGAGAGGGAAAGGACTATAAACAAAGAGAATTTTATTTGAGAGAAAATAAAAGTATACAGTTTGGGGTAGTCAGAGGATATATGCTTCTGGCTAGACACTAGAAATTCACAGCTTCTCCTCATCCTATGACGTGAAGTTGCAACAACTGAGATAGAATATAAAGTTCCATGGCAATATCAACAGTGCTACCACTTTTAAAGTTACCAAACAACAGTGAAAGATACATAGTCTGAATAGTCAATAGATTCTGTTGTTTCTATCACTTAACAAACACACAGTGATGACCATTTTTAAGTTCAAAGAGATTAAAATTCTCTTTCTCAAGGCAAATGCTAAGCCACTTAACAGTAGTAAATAATGTAGTTAATATCCAAGAACAATTGAGTGTTTTTACTGATATTACAAATATATGAACTTACAGAAAAAAAAATTAAACAACATAATAAAAATGTAAAATGCCACCTCTATTTAAATTGTTTGGGCCTCTGCCTTGTTATGAGGTTCCTGAGTCAATTCCTCTTGCCTGGGGCCTTCCTTGGCTCTTTCCCTCCTTACTGCTCCCCACAACAAGGAAAGTGTCACTTTGCAACAAGACTGTGCATTAAAATGGGTGAAACCTACGAGTACTAGCTATAAATCAATCTGATGCAACTGATTAAGATGTAGCATTTGAAATTAGGTACCGGCATGTTTAAATTCTAAACATGTGGTTGGCTTTCAGCTATTTGCTTGGAAAGGAAGGCTGAATTATTTTTGCCTGGGGTTGGGGCAGGTTTCTGAATATTAGCTCCTTCCTGATGTTATTAAGACAGCCTGGACTGCCACCTGGTTATCCCGAGGAAGAGTCTGGCCACATCCAGGGGCCCTGTTTGGGGGAGGAAGGTCAAATGGCCATCTCTCTTCCTAAAGAGATGGCCTCAAAACCCCTGAGAAAAGTCCAGTCTCAATTTCCAACAGACAAAAAAAACCCAAACCAAAAAACAAAAACGCAGGTTCCTTCAGGACCAAAGCCTGTCGGGAGGATTCCACCCACCTTGTGCTAACTTTATTGTGTCCTCTTTGCTACCTGGAATCTTCGTCTCCATTCTTGGTGAGCAGTTATAGATTGGCAGGTGATCTCCAGGAATGAAAGCAAAAGTTTCTCTGTTTATGTCTTTGAACCTTGAAGAAAA